TATTTATTATTATAATCATTAATCTCACGGTCTTAATTCTATGTGTTATTAAAATGGATAGTTTATTGGAAGAAAATGAGCTCAAGAACACTCTGTATATGCAGTATTCCATAATTAGCGTATCTTTTTCCAATAATTTATTGGAAATTGAGTGGCAATTTACAATTTCCCAATAAATAAGGACGCGAATAAAGCATTCCGCATGCAAAGATTAAACGATTCTGCGATTTCGAAACGCGCGAGAATTCATGCCTCGGTCATATTTATGGCACGAGCTTTAATGCTCCGGGGATCCTGTAAAAACGTCGAAATTAATAATTTATAAATCAAAACGATTACTGTATTAGCGTTTCAAATGCTCGTTGGTTGTTGCTTGCTTGCATGCTTCTCCGACTTTACGTATATGGATGGGGCTTCCAGGAGAGACAGTCCGTATTTGGCATATGCACACTTTAACGAATAATTTCAATAAACACTCACATTTCTGTTTCTGCATACGTGAAATGCCTGTTTGGCATCTTGAATAATGCCGATGGAACATGAACAAATCCATTTTGCCGTATTGCAACATTAACTTCTTGACTGAAGCCTCAATTTGCATTTGTTGTTCGATTTATTAGAACGTCCATTAGGTATTCACAATCAATGTTTTCTATATATCTTGATGCACTTTACATGATGATGAAAAGTACAAATCAAGTGAATTATCAAATGGACAACACCTGCAATAAGCAAATTACCCATATATTTCAATAGTAAACTACTGCCAATTATATAGTGCTATATACAGATTTTACTAGGGATTACGACTTCTTTTTGTAAGGACGTTATTATAAAATATTCATAAACTAGTAATATTTTATGTCATTAGCACTATTACACATGTTAATATTTATTTCAATCCATCTCAATTTAGAAAATATATCACTTAATTAAAATAATAAATTAATTAAAAAAATATATGAATGTATACAGATATTAAGAAAAATTACTACATATAAAAGCCTTCAAGAAATAATTGTTACATAATATTTTATAGTATCGAATAATTGTTCGAAAAATGAAATTTTGATAAACCTATTTAATCTTTAAATGTTTGTAGGTCAAAAATACATATTCAGTTTATTTAAGTAGTTTTTTTTTTCTTTAATCGTTCAACAGATTTAGTAAGTTGTTATTTATTAATTTGTTAAAAAAACATAAATATTCTATAGATGTATACAGTTTTATATATAACCTTATAAGATTTTAAATTGATTACGTAATAAGTAAATCAAACAAAATAATGACATTCTATGTTCTAAATATTTAAGTTTGTAATTTTTTTAGTATTCATTTTAAAAGTATGTAAAAAATCAATGCAAAAATTATATGTAGAATAGTGGAATAGAGGGTTAGTTACCGAACCCTCGTTTTACACGGTACTTTATTTACACGTTTTTGCTTTTACACGGTTTTACATTCAAAAAGTTACAATTTCGTTTCGTTTTTCACAGGTACCGTGTAAATCGGGGATAGGTGTACTATAATAATTATTACTTTAACATAAAGGATAAATACTTATTGTCTGATATGAACATTTTAAAGGCAATTTTAATTCAGCAATTTAAAAATGCAAAATAATCAACAAAATATTTTTTATACATGAATAATTGGTTTTTATTTTTATACAGGCAACTCTTTTTTTCTTATAGTTCGGATAATAAAAACCTCCAATTTCTCGTACAGCATTGTTAAAATATTTAACTTTTATTACAAATCAATGGTACAGAAGACATGGAATATATAGAATATTTAGTGATCATCGTAGTTTTTATTTAGTAAATCAATTAAAATGAATGTTGTGTAGATTTTCAAATAATTATGAAAAAATATAAGAATGTGAATAACTTTCACATCTTGGATGAAATAAACGTAAATTAAAACTTTCCTTTTAAGTGAAATTTTCAATATTTTAATAAAATTAACAATAATATTTATTGAGACTATCATATTTGAAAATATATCAAAATTTAATTGTAATTATATAATCATGGTAAAATAAAAAATATTAACTTTGTTTAACTATTGAGCACAGGTTTTTCCGTTCAAAAATAAATTAAATCATTAAAAATGTAATTTTTTACAGTAGTAGTTTATCAGTGTTTAATTGAAGTGCGTGTTGTGGGAGAGAATGAAGGATCATTTTGGTAAAAATGATTGGGATTATAACTTTTTGGCGTTCCGATCGCTGTTCGATTCGGCAAGAAGGGCGGCTCGGAGAATCGGATTAGCCGAAATGATATTTCGTACATGTCGACGTCGGAATAAGGGGGCGGTCGGAGAGACGGCGGCGGCGGGAAGGGCGAAGGAGAGAAGGGAGCCTCGCAAAAACCCGCGACCGGGATCTGCGTGGGGAGGGTGAGGTGTTCGGGCTGAGGAGCGAGGGGGTGGGCGGAGAGACGGGGTCGCAGAACGCCACGAATTCGATGTGGGGTGGCTCAGGTCTACTACGGATCTCGTTTTAGAATTTATATGTAAGCCTGCGAAAAGGGCGAAGGGGGGTGGCGGCTGCTGCAGGGAGGAATATACCTCGGTATATATCGATCAGCTTTCGATGTAAGGAGCGACCGAGGGAATGAGAGAAAGAGAGGGTGGATGATTGTGTGAGTGTGTATGTGTGTGAGAGAGAGAGAGGGTGAGGAAGAGAAAGAGAGAGGCCCTCTCCGCAGTCATAGATGGAATAGCAATAAGTGGGTAGAGTAGGTGGGCCACGCTCCCTCTCACTCTCCTCCGCTCCTCACCGCCCCCGCTGCCAGGGGTGGAAACCGAATTAGGGATCAACCGAACAAAAAAAACAGGGGAAATTTATATATATATGAGTGTGTGTGCGTGTGGGTGCGCGCATGAAAAATGTATTGCGGCCGCCGCCATTTCTGCCGCACGCCGATAATTTGCCGCATATCCGATTACCTTAAGAGTGGAATGGACGAAAAAATATCTATATTTATAAATGTACATCATATACATAGGGAAGACTTAGGGGAACTTAGGAATTGGCCTAAAAATTGTCCCTCGATCAACGCAAGACAAAAAACATCCCTCTAGATTAAATTATTACCCGCATTAATCAAGAATGAAAAAGGACGAGCGGCGTTTAAATTACAGAGCGCGGATGGAATAAAAAATAAATAAAGGACAGAACAAGCCGGGTTCGTCGTCTGTCCACGCTTAGAGTCGCCGGCGGTAATTTGCTTAAGTGCTTTTATGCGCAGATTTCTTCCGCAACGTTAACACGTGTAACATGAGACAGCGTTCCGTAAAGTTATCGTATATCATCTTACTAATTCTTGATCATACATTATGGTTTTTGTTTATTGAAATACCATAGCATTACGCAATGCTTTTAAATCGCAACAGCTTTTATTATAGTTTCATATGTGAAATAAAGAAAAACTATAACTTCTTTGATCTTTCTATGTTTTGAATTTTGGTATACAATAAAAAGTGTCTCATTAACTATAAGTTAATAAAATATTTTGAATAAGTTCTTTGTGTTATTTGGGTTGGACATATGTATCTATAGTCAAAGTTTTGAGAATTAGAATAATTTCGTATATGTATTTATAATTATGTATATACTAAATTTTCCTTTACTACTAATAATAGTAGGGCAGAAAGGTTGCTTTCAATAGATCATTGATAAAAATGTATTAATTTTAATAAAATATATACTACAAATACTTTAATTAATTGCACAATAATTACCTTACTTATTTTAACAAAAAGAAATAATTAAAAAATCACACCATTATGCATTTTTTTGCACAAATGAAATATAGATAAAATACCATAAGAATTAAAAACTGCATATTACATTATAAGAAGGAAGGAAAAGTTTAGTATTTATCATATTAACTTTTCAGAAAAAAAAGTTTAATTTAATATATTAAAAGTATGTAAATAAATAATATACTGTTGTTTATTCGAAACATTATAATATTTGTTCAATTTAATGAAAATATTAATACTAAACGATAATTTTTCCTTATTTTCTTTTAAAATTTTGTATTTTTTACAGTATAATGCAAAAATAATTTGATTGTAACTAATCAAAATTTGTAAATAAATAACATGTTTCTTATAATAAAAATATTAAATTATTAATACAGTTCAATAGAACAAAATTCTACCATAATCTTAATCTAGTTTCATTAAATATCGCATTTTCATAACAATAAATTATTAGTTTAATTGAATTATATTAAAAACACTATTTTACGATGAAACATATACATAAGTTATCATTTTGTATATAAACGATGAATCATGGATTAAAATATTAATGGTGATTTGCAATTATTCTTTAATCTATGAATGATTTTGGTGCTGTTTTCATAATGGTAAAACTCGATCCCCATCTTTCTCTTTCTCTCTAGGGAGACACTAGGATGAATGGATAAGAAGCGCGGAGAAGACCTATTTGCGGCCCCACGATGTAATTTAATCCATCCAATATGTTCCATCCACCTAATGACTTCTTGTTAGAAAACATTTCTCAACGTCGAGCCATAATATTGAACCAAAAATGAAACATTGATTTTTACATCAAGAAACATTTAAAACAAGATTACCCGGATATACATTTTTTTATAAAAACTAAGTTTTAAATGAGCAAAATAAAAATAAATTCTAATAAGTTAGTAAACAAAATTATTATTCTATTTTACTAAGTTTCTTGATTAGTACGCTTTCTAACAGTCCGGAATTTATTTGACAACATTTATATAACTTAAGTATTTCTGCAAAATAATCCATTTTCTTTACAAAATTATTTATAATATAATTTATTGAAATTAATTGTATTTCATTATATACTAATTTTTATTGGTCCCAACTTGAACCAAATGACTAGCAACCAAAGTCTTACAGCTTAAAAACTTAATTATAAACTTATATTTAATATTAAATTATTTGATGTATTACATACAAGTATTTATTTTTTTTTATTATTGTTTCAGATGTATTCAGCAAAGGGCAAACCACAACCACAGACATCCATTATTGTGACCTTTCCGACCGTAACCTTAGGGAAGAGGATGTATTTTTAGACTCGCATCCTAAAGCTACCACTTTGTATATTGTTATAAAAGCAAAGAAACTTTGTATAATATTTACGATTTTGTATAATAAAACTTTAATAAATGTATTATATGTAAAGAAAGAAAAAAAAAGAAAATGTGTTTATTGGCAATGTGACCTAACAAGTAATTGGAGGGAAAATCCGTGTGGCGCGAAACGAAAGTTATTAAATTTAATTAGAGTTTGGAGGGTGGTTCCGGTGCGAGGAACGCGACGGGAAGATCAGACGAAGGGAGCGAAATAAGGCGAAAATATACATACACACACAGAGAGAGAAATAGCGAGAGTTCGTGCACGTGGATTATGTAACGTACGTAAATGAAGTATAAATGGGACCCGTGCGCCGTCAGTTACAACTGGGTTCTTTTACATCATACTCCCGTAGCTGCTGAACAAAGTGATAATTAGTAATTCCCGGTGTCATGCAAAATCCCCCGTGGGGCGTCATGCTTTATTAATTAAACTAACTCCGTATAATTGGAATCCTGCGGCTCACTTATTTCAATTTAATTCACTCCTCGCGACACGACACGACACGACACGGCATACTTATTATGCCGTTTATATATTTGGCCGAACGATAATGGAGATCACAAGAACTAAAGAAACAAATTAAATAAATGGAATGTTAAATGAAAAGTAGAATGCGATATGCAAGTAATGAGATGCATATTATAAACTTTATATTTTGAAGGTAGGTTTCATTGTAAAGTGATCAAATCTACAATATGAAATTAGAATCAATCTCATAAATCTTTAATATTCGATTAATGAAGGTAAGTTTATATTTTTTATTATTTTGACCAATATTATTTATTATATTAAATATATTATATTTTTTATAATCCCTTTAAAAGTGTGTTTTTGTGATAATAAGTTTTTAAATATTAGGGCTTAAATTGACTTATAAAAAATCAAAGTCTTTTCACTAAAGAATTACAAACTTTCACCATTAGTAAAAAGAAATAACACATCAATAACACATATTTCAAATTTCTTTAAGGTTTTTTGAAATTGTTGATGAGAAAATTGTTGGATTTTTTAATTAAATGAAGTAGAAATGAAACATATATTGAAAAAACAAAACAAATGAAGTGGACATTTTCTAGTGAATGTAAAAATCATGAACAAAAAAGGAAGTATTGTTGAGGTTAAAAGTTGAAAATTAATTGTATGTGCTATATTTTGCCACCTAAATAAATAATGTTTGTTTATCAAATGAAAAATCAAATTAAATATAAATAGAAAAAAAAAAATTTAAGTATTTCTACCATTATTATACATATTGTTAAGAAGAATATGTTGAAATAACAAAATATTATGATATTATATAAGAGAGAAAGACTTTTTCTTATTATGTTACTATTTGAGATTATGTAACTTTTTATTTTTTAAATTTATGGTGAATAGAAAATGAAATGTTTACACAGAAGGTAAGATAACTCATTGAATTCTATTTGTTGTGAATGGTTTAAGAAATCATTAAGGCATTGGAAATACGCCATCGTATTTGGAGATGTGAGCCAATCACGAGAGTGGCGCGATGTGGGAATCGCGGCAGTTAGGCCATGACAGCAACAGCACCCCCTCGTAATGAGTTTTCCCGAGGGTGAGAGATGAAATATTCACCACGTCTACTACCATTATCCCAACTAGTGCTGGGAAAGGCTTCCCAAACAAACATCCGTCAATCAAATCACCGCTGTTGTTTTTTCATTATTCATTTTCAAACCGTATCCACGTTTGCCAAATCACGTTATCAAACATTCGCATTATTTCGTAAACTTCACATTAGACATTTTCGCGTACGGTAATCAGCAAATTCAAAGTCAAAATGTTTAAGTTATTCAAGAAGAAGGGGAAGAAAGATCTTAAAGAAAAAACTAATAGTTTCATGTCAAACTATCGAATATCTACAAATAAATTTGAGGGTTCAACTATAAGCATGGATACGTTGTTAAACGCGAGCGATTTGGATGATCGAGAGTTACCAGTTCATCTTCTGCAGAATGTGGATAATGGTAAATCGGATAACAAAAATGCAATTAGAATGTCTACGCGCAATAGCAGCAGAGGGGTTTCAGTCAATTCCATCGGTTACTTCGAACAGTTGAATAAGGATCGTAATAGGAATAACGATGAAAAACGTCGTTCAGCTTACATTGATGACATCTTCAACCAACTCTCGAATACTTCATTGAAAAAGAAGCGCATTTTAGCACAGAGTCGACAAAGTGTCAAGTCACGTAGGAGCGTGGTCTCGAACAAGAAAACGTTTGATACAAGATCAAAATCTTCAGAGAGCAGCAGATCCAACCAATCAAAATCTACTACATTTTTGGAGAACAACGTCAAACGGAAATCGGTATCTTCTAAACATCGCAAGAGTGTAATGAATCCACCGAAACACAATACAAACGAAATTAGCGATAAAAAGAAGAAGAAGAGAATGGCTAAGCTACTGCAATCGTATCGCACGGATGAACCTGAAAGAGATTTAAGTACTATAATGCGGCATAAAAGAGCACTTAATTTCAACTCGTCTACCTTCGACAGCATTCATAGCGTACCCGGTTCATCAAAGTCACCAGAACATCATAAAACTACAAAGCACAAAGGTAAACATAAATCCAAGCACAAAATGCGATCGAGATCTAAATCTTCGAAGAGGAAACGGTCCAAATCAAGGACGAGGTCGAAATCAATGAAGCTAGTATCATCGAAGGCATTACTAACCAAAAACACAGATAATGCTCTAAAACCGCAGACGTTCTCACAGAGGCCGAATAGAAGATCGACCAGAGCAAAATCCGTGTATCCAAAACCTTCAGATTCTACCGATACTTTAAATAAATCGGTACGTTCCATTCTCTCCAGCAAACAGCAAAGCTTGCTATCGGAATTTATGGACTTGGACGACTACGGTGACATTTCGCCATCAATAAATGTCAGTGAAATCGATCAGAAACTGACCGACAAAAATTCTATACCGCTAATTGCTCATCATAAATTATTATCAAATAAACCTGATTTACCTGAAGAATCGAACGTTATACAACAAGCCATTGAAATACCTCAAGAAATTGAAACTGAAATGGAGCCGGACGAATACGAAATGAAAATAATTACAAAAGATTCTAATACTTTACGAAAAGAAGCTGCAACTATTTTGACCAAGGAATCTGATGAGATGCCTTCTACCTCAAAAAAGGATAAATTATCGGTAACTGAAAATGAACTAGAAGTAATTGAAGCAAATATTGATTTGGAAGAATCACCAATCCAAGATGTTAATACTGAAACAATAATAGACAGTAATGATGATGATAGAGAAATTATTTTACATAGTGTCGATACGTTGCAAAATGTGAACGAGAATCTACAATCGGTTCCATCTTTGATGAGTGAACGAATTGATACAATGATATTTGGGAATATATTTAAACCTCACAGTAAATGTAAAAAATGTCACCGAGAAAACTTACCGTCCATCGAGCTTGAGAGTAAGGCAGCTTCTCAGGACTTATCTTTCGAGGAATCTCTATCAGAGCTGATTGATATAAGTGAACGTTTCCAATTTCAAGAGAACATCGAAGAAGATACCGAGAAATTTGAATTCCTTTTAACCTATCTCGTACCAACCGCAGCCTTGGCTAGATTATCCAATAAGTTCTATGATGACAATACTGGAACCTTCTTTAGAAATAAACGCACGTTGATTTTCAATTGGAATTTTATAAATCAACCGGATACGTTTTCATTTGTACTAGATAACTACGAAAGACAAAAGTTGAGGTACTATAAAACTTATGAATTTGAAATCAGCGAGACAATTTATTTGTATCTACATAAGTGTACAATACCTATTGAATTATTCTTGCTGGATGAGAGCGGACATCAACTTATGTTAGGAAAAGCAGAATTGAGACTTGCACGACCTTTGCGAAAAGTAGGAAGAATTGTTGATTTCCGCTTAGAAATTAATAATAAAGATCTATGTTTATGTTCAAAAGATGTTCAATCCGAGGTGTACGGATTTTTGTACTGCAAGGGTCTCTTCAAAGGGAAAATAGAAAAGTATAAAAAATGCATGCCGAAAGCCCCAAAAATAGAATTTGTTCCGCCAATTGGAAATGGTAGCTTCCATTCAATTCTAGCAAATACAACTCGGCCAAGAGGTAGCGATGTGAATCTAATGTTTGCTGATGTGACCGATTCTGAAATGCTGGCGTTCCAGGATGGTCTGAATTTAGTATTGGTAAGGAACAAAGCTCTGAGAACAACGCAAGCAGAAATCAGCAATGAATTGAAGGAAAGAACCACATGGATGCACGAAGAGCTTAAATGGAGATTGACGCTGCAGGAGCATGCAATCCTTAGCGGAAAGGATCCGAACCTGGTTAAATGGAGGCAGTGGAAGGACGAAACCACTGCAAAAGTAAAATACCGACCGTTGTCCAATGAGGATTTCATGGAAACGTCGCAAGCCGAAGTCGAAATAACAGTAATCGATTTGACCATATACCAGGAATCGATAATATCTACAAACGATAACATCAATTACATTTACGTGGAATACATGTTTCTTCATCATTTTGGGAGACAACTGGAGACTCAAAGCTTGCGCAAAGACGATGAGAATCCGATGGTCTACGATTTCACTAATAAATTTATAATCAGAAATGAAGATAAAGAGGCCAAATTAATGGCCGAAATGATAAAAAACAATGAAACCATTCCATTCACCATTGTTAACGAGCCCGTCGAGAATTATGAAGACATTCAGGCTTGCCAAGAGATAGGTTCTTGTTATGTAAACATTTTCGATATCATACAAACCCATCAAGATATAGTTGAGGATACTTTTCCTGTCATAGATGAGGTGCAGAGAACAGGTGAGGTTGGTAAACTGAGGGTGAGATTCAAGGGTCTCGCCTCTATGAGATCTCTAGCCCTGATCATGCTAACGCCAGACACCTTTAAAATTTTAAGATGAAAAAAAGAAGAGATTTAAATGTAAGATTTAAAGTTGGACATTTACAAAATTGTTTTTACTTTTGAAAATAGTAAATAAGAAAACTGATCGAAATAAAATTATTTTTAAATGTACTAATGATTTCTAAATTACTCATGTTAATATAATTGGTTTAACCTTCATTTTTCCTAATGTTCATTTCCTAATAATTGCACCTGACATGACTTAATCACAACTTCTTTTTTTATATACATCCCTCTGATTACTATTCTTTCCTTTGTGGACAAAAAAAACAGCAAACCGCTCTCTCTCTCTTCCTCTCCCTCTCTTCATACTCAATCCAAGGTTTTTTTTTTCATTCCATATTCTCCTTTGAATTCTGTGGCCTGTGTGCAATTCATCTCGTAGCCACAGCCGCAGCCACCGCTTCAATTTACCCCCAATTTCTCTTCTTCCCCATTTCGTTCACTCTCCTTTTTTTCAAATATAAAATGCTTCTGCTGATGGCGCGGGGCGACATCGCGCACTCCACTACATACGTACATAATGGAATAATAAAAGTGCCGGAAGTGGAGCTTTCGATTGCCAACACGTTTGGGGGGAACCCCCATTTGGTTGCGGGTGAATAAATCAAACCGCCATCGCAATCCGCTAAACCTCCCGGAATTAAATGATGATGTTGAGAGAGAGAAAAAATGGTCGATGTGTATGAGATTTTCGCAATTTTCTATCATCAACGCTGTTTAATTCATTAACAAATTAATAATTTTATTCATAAATATAGGTGAGAAGACTCGTTTTTCTTCTAAACTATTATAGCTCTTAAACTCTCATTTATAACAAATACAAGCTGCAATATTGTTTTATATAATGTAAATTGAAATTATTGGTTTATTCTTTAAATATTCTTACAACTTGGAACTTGAATGAGAAATATGTTTATGTATTTATTTTATATTTGTTTTGTTTTATTTACTATTTTTTTTAGCATATCTCAAAATTATTAATTACGAACGATTATTATTAATATTAAAATAGCAAAAGAATCTACATAAAATGTAGATGCAGATGTAAACAAAAATCCCATTCTGGCTGATAACGGATTGATTCACAAACTATAACAAACATAACATATGTTGTTGTGGCGCATTCTTGCTCAATTGCGACTTATAATTCCTCAAGTGTCGTCGGTTTTCTGGCGCAGGCTTCTATCTTTAAGGTATCCATAAGAAAAAGTCTAGTAGCGTTAATTTTAATGTAGCTTCATCGCTCCCCTAAAATTGTGTATCTCGTTAAAAAAAACACAAGTACCATTTGCAAAATTCTATTTTTCGGATCGGATCATCTTCATTAAACGCATGAACTATTGTTAATGCAACTTTTCCATTTACAAAATACGATAGATATTGGATTTGCTAATGCGAATCTCACGAATTGTTTGTCTTACAGATGTTTCGCAATATCTTTCCAGTAGTCTTTCTTGGCTGTTGAAGCTCGTTGATGTTCTTAATCTTTCTGAACGTTGTCTATGAACATCTTCAACAGTTCCATTCGTTACAAACTTATCTTTTATACGATTAATTTAAGTCGCGTAGGT